AGCCTGGAGCCTGTTTCAGATTCTGTGTCTCCCTCTCTCTCTGCCCCTCCCCCATTCATGCTCTGTCTCTCTCTGTCCCAAAAATAAATAAACGTTGAAAAAAAATTTTTTTTTAAAAATTAAAAAAAAAGTAAATATCATATGTAATGTAAATGAATCTCTATACACATATGTAGGCTAAATATTAATTGAAATGATGAGTAATAGACTTAGGGGTAGTTTTTATTTTCTTCTTTTGTAATATCTGCATTTTTCTGATTTTTTCCCCTAAAGAATGAATATCAGTTGAGTCATAATGAAGGTGCTCTTACTTCACGGGGCTGCAGTGTGTGCTAAGACATTTATTCACTTATTCCATAAATATTTACTAACCATCTTGTACATGATGGTGTTTGCGAAAGCCACGCAGTGATGGGCCAGTGGTAGATACTCAATAACTGGGCTCAGCCAAGGCTCTTCTGTCAGGTGGCACACACGGGAGCTGGGTGCTCGGTCACAGGTGCTCTGTTCTACGGGTCTACATACATTTCAAAAATCTAGGAAATGAAAACACTGGGGTGCTTCCACTATCTAAGCCACTCCAAGCTGAGTGGCTTTAAACGGCAATGATATGTGATTTCTCCTGATTTTGTGGATTCAGCAATTCTGCTCCCTGTGGTGCAGCTGAATTTCCTCATGCAGGTGCATCCAGCGGGATACTTGGTGGGGGCCGGTCTCTGCACGTGGTGTCACACTCTCCTCTGTCTCCAGTAGCCTGGGCTTCCTTACAACCTTGTGTCTGGGGCTAACAGGGAGTATTCCAAGTGGGCAAACCCCAATGTGGGAAAACGTATCAAGCCTGCTCATATCAATGCAAATTGTTCTGAATATAATTTGCTTTGTTGTCTAATCTATAAGGAGCACTTTCTCAGTAAGTGAATATTCTTCCCAGCTTGACTTTTAATGGTTGACTGATAGACTATCATTGGTTTAACCAATCTCCCATTGATAAATGTTCAGGTGGCTTTCATTTGAGGGCAGTTGTAAACAACTCTATGAAGACCAACTTTGTACCAAGAACTAGGTATGAATCCTTTCAAGAGAGGGATTATGAGGTCAAAGGACAGGAATTTTTAAAGCGTTGCCAAGTCACCCGTCAAAAACATGGTATGCATTGCACTTCTACCAGTGTAAAGGGACCTGCCCTTCTCACAGTCCTCTGCCAATACTGGGTGTGGTCTGTCTTTTTTGTCTTTGTCCATTGGATCGGTGAAAAATAGTATCTCATCGTCTTCAGAAGAGAGAAAATTAAAAGTTGCCTCACCCAGAGGCTTAAGGAGAGTTCTTGTCATTTACTCAGAAGTGGCCCTTTAGGCCCTTTTGTGTCTAAAATCAGTGGACACAAAGCCAGTGCGATGCAATGTGTTTCTGTCCGCTGACTCAGGCTGTAAAAAGGAACACAGTGCTGACAGCTGAGCTCCTGACAGTGGAGATGAGGTCACTGTGTCCCCGCTGTGCGGTCGATCGGGACAAGTGCTCTGCTTTCCAGTCTGGTGTCTGCGGGTCTTCCGGTAGTCACAGGGCACATGGCCTCACCTGCCATGCTGCCACACCCATCTTGGGTCTGGCTCTTTCCCCTCTGACCCACTCTGGAGGGCCTGATAGTTAGGTCTGGACCTGGCTGGCTATGACTAATGAGAGTTGTAAGGAGAGGCATATAAAGCGGCACCCTGCGTCCTTGGCCTTGGACAGCCAGAGCCATTCTTCGTGGCCTCAAAAACTCATGAACTGGGGGACACCTTCCTGTGTGGTAGCAAGTGTCCTGGACTTGAGCCAGCAAGCAATGGAGCCTTTCTGAGCCTCAGTTTCTTCATCTAGAATCTTCATCTAGAATGTGGGGCTAATAGAGCTTTAAGGATTATGTTCTTTCTCTTGACTGATACCTGTAACTTTCACGGGATCCTCCAAGGTTGGGAGTGTCCTGCCCACTTTACAGATGTGGCAAAATGAGGCCCAGAGAAGGGAAATAACTTGCCCCCAATCGTGCAGCTAATAAATAGCAGAACTGGAAACATGAGTGTGATTTTAAAACCCTGCTGTCACCCAGCTGGACCAGTAGAGCATTCTCAGTGGGTGGGATGGCTGGGCTGGGGACCCACCACGGAGAGCCAAGTTTACTGCTGGAGTTCTCCAAAAGGGTGCTTGACTTCACAGCTATGATTCTACTTTGTTCCACTCTTCCCTCAGAAGGAGGCAGGGCCCTTCACTTAGTAACTGCTACCATTTACCTAGGGAGGTATTACCCATTCATTGGATGGGGTGCTGGGGCACAGGGAAGGTCAATGACCTGCCAGGGCAACAGTGCTGAGTTGCATGCTCACTGGAGTGAGGTACTCGGGGCTGGACCACCACCAGTATTTGCAAACATCTTGTCCTCTGATCACCAGAGCCTCTTCTCAGCCCTGGAAGGCAACCACTGTTTGCCTTACAGATGGAGAAACTGAGGCCCAGGGAGAGGAGGAGGCTTGTTTCCTCCACAGACTCAGCCTACTCAGTCCAGATTGCTGTATGGGGAAGTAATGGAGAAAAACTTGCCAGCAATGAATGGACTTCAGCCTGCCAGCTGAAGTGGACTCAGCCAGGGCTGGGTGTTCCTTCCAGGGAACTCAAGGTGGGGCAGGATGAATGGGAATGAGCTTAGAGGGCAGGCCAGGCCAGAAAGAGGAGAGGGCTGGTCTCTGGGGGGGTCATGGGATGAGAAAGGGAGCCTAGAATGGGGCTTGGCCTATGGATTCCTTACCAACATGTTTAAAAAGGGGCCATGTGGGAGTGTGGAGCTCGGGAATCAGGGCTCCTGGGTGTAAATAATGTGTGTGCTACTTATGGAAATGGGGAGTTTGGAAAAAAATTATTATATATATATATATATATATATATATATATATATAAAGTGGTGAGTTTGGGGGCAATATTTCCCTGAGCCTCAGTCCTTATTTGTAAAAGGGCTAAAGTGTGGTGGGTAAGACTGTGCAATCTGGCACGATCTGGAGCAGTGCCTGGGGTAGATCCCGGCTCTGCCACTTCCAGGGTGACCCAGGGCAAGGGCGTTTGCCTCTCGGGGTCTCAGTTTCCTCATCTGTATGATGGGCCTGCTAGTAATAGTACCCCCCTCACCTGGCTGTTGTGAGGATTTAATGGCTTCAAGCAGGCTTTTCCCCTAATCAGTCTTTGCTTCCACTGTCATCATCATCATGATCATCATTTACCTCCAAGGATGTTTGGAAGGATTTACCAAGGCTGCTGGTGCAAACTGGCGCAGCCTTTATTAGATAATTACCGAGCAGAGTGACAGGTGTTGTGAAATTCACAGGAAGGAGATAAAAGTTCTGCCTGGCTGGGTAGGAGAAGGGTGTGGAAGGCTTCCTGGGGAAGTGGCGCTTTCTGGGCGTGAAAGGATGTACAGAAGTTCCCCAGGTAGAGGAGGGGGCAGGTAGAGAGATGAATTTGAGGAAGGGCTCAGCGGTGAGAGAGCCTGAGCGTGTCTGGGAACCACAGAGCCGTTTCATTAGTTCCTATGCCTGTCGTCCATGTGGCAGAATCACCCAGAATACTTTAGAAAAACACAGATTTTGGTGGTCCCACCCAGCAATGTGCTGAGTAGTAGGTGTCAGGTAGGACCTAGGAATCACTGTGGTTAAGGCTCCCTAGGAAATTCTGGTGCCCAACCAGGTATGAGAACCCTCTGCTCTGCGGAGGAGGCTATCTCTAAGCAGGGATAGGCCTCACTGAAATACCAATCCCAGACCTCTAAGATCTGAGCAGAGATCTTGAGAAGGTGGGGAGGTAATACAAGCAATCCCTGACTTAGACTCCTCACCCCCTCCCCCTCTCCAAGAGAGTCCCACATTCTGATGGCCACATTTGCCACCAGGGATAGACCCCGGAGATGCTACTCCCTGGCTCCAAGCAGGACAACTTTCCTTCCCTCTGTCCATTCATCCATCTGTCCGTTCACCAGACACGGTTCTTGAGCTCCCTCACATGTGCCAGGCAAGGTTTGGGTCCTGGAGGTACAGTGGTGAATAAAGCAGACACTCTGCGTTCCCCCTACAGAACTTTCCATCAGCCCCGGCTCCCTTAGCTGGCGGAGCATGGTGTGCTTCGTCATCAGGAATGTGGCTAAGTACAAGAGAACTGGGACAGGAAACCCACCCGGGGGGCTCAGACAGAGACAGCAGCAGCGCCCAGTGGCCCAGCCTCCAGACTCAGTGGCTTCCTGATTCTTCTCTCCCACAGGCCCCACCTCCTCTCCCAGATGGCTCAGGCCTTGCCTGCCCAGCTCTCAGACTCTCCCCATGGTGCCTCTGCCAGGCAGTTCCTGGTGCCCAGGGGAGGGGTGAGCTGTGCAGCCTCCACCTCACCCCCCAGCCCACAAAGAAGCCAACAGCCTTCGGTAAGTCCTGAGCAACTCTTCTCAAGGGCAGGGTCAAGGAGCATTTCCTCACAGGGGTAGCAGAAATAACAAACACGAGGAAATGACAGGGATTCTGAGGATTTCAGAGCACGCAGCCTGGGTACAGGATGGACCCACGCAGAGAGATGGGGGGAGAACCTTGTTGCAACAACTTCCTTGCCCCCCGCCAGAGCCATCTCCTTGCGTCTTCGTGCCTTTATTCAGTCCTTCTGGTTCATCACAATCCCTTGCCTGCTCCAACCCCACCCAAGCTGTCACCAGTGTGGGTGCTACGATGTCACTGTCCCACTCACTCACTCTGCCATTCATTCATTTCTTCCCTCATTCATTCAACATATAGGTGCCACGTGCCAGACACAGGATGAAGCTGTAGGCAGATGAGAGCCTCTCGTGGAATTGCCAGCTGAGTGGGTAAACAAACAACAATGGGACAACGGTAATACAATGTGACTATTGCCACATGGAGTTTTGTTCAGGGTGCCAAAAACCCAGGGAGGAACCAAAGGAAGGCTGATTCTTGGTGAAGGAACAGGATCTTAAAGAGAGTGTAGCATACGGTGGGAACAGCGAGCATCAAGGCAGTGAAAGATGGTTTGCAATGGCTAGAGCACAAGGAAGGCTCAAGGGACAGAGGGAGTGGAGCCTGGAGAGGTCAGAGGGGTGGTCCATGGAGGGCCTTGAATGCTGGGCTAAGGAACTAGAACTTTCCACCATAGGCAATGGGGAGCCATCGGAGGATTGTGAGCTGGGGAGGGACATGGTCAGATTTGTGTCTTAGAATGACAACGTGTGGCAGCTGGTTTGGGGGGAATGGGCTGGAGCAGGAAAGGCCAGGCAGAGCAGCCAGGAGAGGACGAGACATAGTCCAGGTGGGAGAAGCCAAGACCTAACTAGGGCAGGACAGGTGGGTGGCTCAGCAGGTGTGAGCACCTCTGGGCATAAGAACCGAGGTCAGCGTGGGGCAGACAGGCTGCAGAGCTGGCCCCATCAGGGCGACTGGGCGTTTTCAGGGCTTGAGGTCAAAGACAGGCTGAGGCAGGCAGGAGCTCTAGGAACTCTTGGCCTTTGGGCTGGGGTAGGCTCAAGGTCAGCAGATGCAGCTGGGTCTGGGTCTAGAGACTTGGGAGGTCCACAGCAGGACTCTAGCCTGCATGCAGAAATCAGGGCAAAGTCCAGCCCCGGAAAAGAGTTCCCAGGAGCCAGGCAGGGTGTCAGAGCCCTGGTCCTGAAGGAAGAGGCTACAAGGCAAAGAGCAGAGGACTCCTGCCTCCAGTTCCTTTATGTCATGAACCACTTCCCTTCTATGGCTACCTGTGAAGATGGGCTGCGGAGGCACCTGGGGCTACTTTCTTGCTCATGCTTCGTCCGTCTTCAGATGAGGCTCCCCTCAGACTCATCTTGATTCCCATCCTGGGGAACCGAAGTCTGCATGGGGTCTGACCTGCCCCTGGCTCCAAGCTCTGGTGAGGATGGACTCGGGCATGGCTCCACCCGCAAAGTGTGCGGTTGGAATGCCACATTGACCGCCAGGAAGTTTCTTGCAAAGATATATACACTTACATTACAATCCAGCAGTCCCACTGGTAAGTATTTACCCAACATGGAGGAGAGAGTATGTTCACCCAAAGACTTGTAGGTAAAAGGCCATAACAGCTCTATTTGTAATAGCCGAAGACTGGAAACGATCTACATACTCACTGACAGGTGACTAAAGAAACAAATTATACAATGGGGCACTACTCAGCAACGAAAAAGCATGAGCTAGTAATGCATGCAGCAACATGGACAAATGTCAAAGCCAGTTGAATGAAAGAAGCCAGAAAAGAGAGAGAGCATACATAATGCATGTGATTCCATTTTTATGAAATTCTTGGAAATGCAAACTAATCTGCGTTGACAGAAAGCAGACCCATGGTTATCTGGGATGGAGGGTGGCAGAGGGATGACAAGGAGGATGACCAAGGGGATGAAGACCTTTCGGAGGTGATAGATAATGTGCATTATCTTGGTGGTGGCGAGAGTTTCAAGTGCGTATACATGTGTCAAAACTTGTCAGATTGTATCATTTAAGCATGTGCTGTTTCTGGTACGTAGGTTATACCTCAATAAAGCTGTTTGAAAACTCTGATGCTAGTTATGCGCGGTCATAGCCAGGCTGGTCCTAACACAGCATCCGTCACCGTGTCTTCCAACCACCAGGGCACAGCGAAAGGTTGCTGTGCACCAAACTCCGTGTCCTAAATACTTCCACTAAATATATGCAGTTTGGGGCGCCTGGGTGGCTCAGTCGTTTAAGCGTATGGCTCTTGATTTCAGCTCAGGTCATGATTTCATGGTTTGTGGGATCGAACCCCATGTCAGGCTCTGCACTAACGGTACGCAGTCTGCTTGGGATTCTCTGTCTCCCTCTCTTTTTACCCCTCCCCCACTCACACTATCTCTCTCAAAATAAGTAAATAAACACTTAAAAATATATGAATGGAGTTTTCGCTTAAGCCTCACAACAGCCTTGTGAGGTGGCGCTGTTACTATGATCTCTGTTTTACATCTGAGGAAACTGAAGCTCAGAGAGGTTAAATCACTTCTCCAAGGAAATGTCATCTCACTGAATCCCAGCCCCAGCGTTTGCTCCTAACCTAATCCAAACTCTGATTTGTTCTTATGATTATGCAAATATTGTGATATTTGTGGAGAACAGCGTTGAAGCATTTAAATTGTTTTCCATCTCTTGTATATCATTAAGTATCCTAGCACATCTCATAATATTTAGTTTTTCCATATTTTTATCCATATGAAGACCGTGTTTTTACTACCGTAATTCAATATGTGCATAAACATTTGTTCCCCCTCCCCCAACCCTGCATATTTACATGTGGTCTTATACTCCTCTGAGCAAAGAACACCAAGAAAAACAGTTTTTAGGTAGGTAATTTTGGGTTCTCAGGGAAAGTCTTGAAAAGTGGAATGCAAGACACAAAGTGTTATGCTTGTTCCTCCTTATCTGGGTCTAAAAAAAACACAACTCAACCTTTTTCCTGCTCAGTCTAAGCTGGAGCCTTTTGGGAGCTCTAATCTAGACATCCTTGTGACAGTTCAAACACCCATTCTCCCTCTTTGCAGGAAGTTGCTCACTCCCCAGCACCAAGAACAGGTTCTGATTGGTTTTAGCCAGTCCATATATCCACAGCCATTGTCCAGGTTTGGCCCTAAAGCACATCAGAGCCAGTGAAAAGCAAGATTTCTTCTGTTACTCCTGAGAAGGAGAAGCGGCCTCTCTTCTCCATGGGTGCTACCAGGAGACCCCTCCTTTTATGGAACACTGCAGGGAGGCACAAGGAGGCTCTTGGCAGACTGGTGGTGGGTGGTGGGAAGTTTTCAAATGGCACTGCAGACAGAGGTCAGGGCAGAGAGATAGAGAGCACCCCCTTCCCCATTCTCGCTGATGTTTGAGCCACCGGAAGCCAACTAACAGATTCCTTCTGTTTTTTTTTTTTTTTTTTTTTTTTTAATTTTTTTTTTTTAACGTTTATTTATTTTTTGGGGACAGAGAGAGACAGAGCATGAACGGGGGAGGGGCAGAGAGAGAGGGAGACACAGAATCAGAAACAGGCTCCAGGCTCTGAGCCATCAGCCCAGAGCCCGACACGGGGCTCGAACTCACGGACCACGAGATCGTGACCTGGCTGAAGTCGGACGCTTAACCGACTGCGCCACCCAGGCGCCCCAGATTCCTTCTGTTTAAACCAGTTTTCATTCATCCATTTATTTGAACAACATATACTAATCTCTCCCTATGTGTTAGATACACTTGTAGGAGCAATACGAGTTAGGTTTTCCATGACCAGAACCCTAAATATAATCTTAACCCAATCCTTAGTCATAAACTACAACTCTGATCCTTTTCTAGCGAAGAGCTTTTAATGGCAAGAAACAAAGGACGAAGGGGCATTAGTATGAGAGTATGTATGGTGCGCTAAGCGAAATCCCAGGAATATTCTTTTTTAATTTTTAAGTTAATTTACTTATTTTGAGAGAGAGAGAGTGTGCAAGTGGGGATTGGGCAGAGAGAAAGGGAGAAAGAGAGAAAGAATCCGAAGCAGGCTCCACACCAGCAGTGCAGAATCCGATGTGGGGATCGGACCCACAAACTGCAAGATCATGACCTGAGCTGAAGTTGGATGCTTAACCGACTGAAACACTCAGGTGCCCCCAACGACTATTCTTACAAAGATCTTACAGTGCTGGGCCTCAGGAGGTCCAGATGGAGGTAGGTCCCTAAAGATGAGGGATGCAGCCTCTGTCTAATCAGCGGAACTTCATGTCAGGGTCTAAATATCAATCATCTCCACTCACTAACAGAGATCCTGAAATGATTTGTTCTCTGGACAGTGATCCCTTTATAGATTTTTTTTTTTTGAAAGAGAGAGGGCGCAAGTGAGCAAGGGACAGAAAGAGAGAGAGGGAGAGAAGTGGGGCTCACCTGGGGCTCAAGCTCACCCAAAGCGGGACTCAAACTCATGAACCATGAGATCATGACCTGAGCCGAAGTCAGATGCTTAACCAACTGAGCCACCCAGGCGTCCCCTTTATAGATCTTTAGTAGCAATCTCCACCGGACAAATACTGTAACTCATATATATGATACTGGACAAAAATAGTAAATCCTTTCAAATGTATAATATTAGAACTCCTTTCAAATTAAAAAATTTTGCTCATGAAAGTGCTCAGTGCCTTTCCCCTTTGGCTAAACTTCTAAGATTTCATTTGTCCTACCTTGGTGCTCTGAGGCCCCTCCTACACTGCTGACCACAAGGCCAATCTTGGAGGTGGCTTTGTGTCTAAAAAGAAGCCTGTATTTTTAAAAAATAGGGTTTATTTAGACACAAATTACATGCAATAAAATTCTCCAGTTTCTAGTGTAAAATATGATTGACAAATGTATAGTTGCATAGCCCCCATATATATAGATACACATATATCTATACCTCGATATATGTATTGAGATAGAAAGCATTTCTATCACCCTAAAAGTTCCCTGTACCCTTTGAAGTCAATCCCTTCCCACTCCTCTCAGCCTCTGGCAACTACTGATCTGCTTTCTGTCATCATAATTGCGAATTTCCAGGATTTCTTATAAACGGAATCATCTAATATGCATTCTCTTGTGTCTGGCTTCCGTCAGCCAGCATAATGATTTTGAGATTCATCCATATTATTGTGTATATATCACAATAGCAGTAGTATGCTGAGTAAATTCCATTCTGTGGATATATGACAGACGGTTAACCCATTTACCAGCTAATTGGCATTTGGGTTCTCTTCAGCTTTTGGCTATGGTGAACAGAATTGCCATGGACATTCACTTATATGTCCCTCAATAAATATCTCTCGGTAAATATCTCTTGGGCAAACATGTAGGAATGGGATGGCATGGGTATAATGTAAGTGCATATTTGTTTTACAAGGAACTGCCAGACTGTTTTCCAAAGTTGGACCATTTTTCATTCATTCCCACCAGCATTATAGGGGAGTTATAGTTGCCCACATCCTCGTTAACATTGGTGTGGTCAATTTTTCTATTTTATTTTTTAATTTTTAGTCATTCTAGTGGATATGGAGTGGCATTTCATTGTGATTTAAGTTTGGGTTTCTCTGATGACTAATGATGTCAAGATACTAGTATCTCGTTGTGTGCGTTTTGGCTGTTTATGTGTCTTCTTTGGTGAAGTGTCTAATCAAATCTTTTTTCCATTAAAATAGTTGGTTGCCTTCCTACTTTGAGTGTCAGAACTCTTTATGTATTCCGGCTAAAAGTCCCTTATCTGATACGTGTTTTGCAAATGCTTTCATCCATTTGTGCCTTGCCTTTGCCTTTTTAATGATGTCTTTTAAAGAGCAGAAGTTTTTCATTTTCTTTTATGGTTTCTGACTTTTGTGTCCTATCTAAGAAACTTTTGCTTAGCTCAGGGTTTCTTAATTCCAGTACAATTGTTATTCTGGGTCAGATAATTCTTTGTAGGGGGTGGCTGTCTGTGTATCGCAGAATATTTAGTAGCTTTCCTGCCCTTTACCCACTAACTTAGTAGCATCACCCCTCCAGTTGTGACAACCAAAAATGTCTTCAGACATTGCCAAATGTTTCGGGGGTGGGGGGAGGGGAGCCTTTCCCAGGTTAAGAAACACTGACCTAAACCAACAAAAAAAATTATTTTCTTCTACATTCTCTTCTAGAAGCTGTATAGCATAAATTCTTACAATTTCTATGACATATTTTGAGTTGATTCTTGCATTTGACGTGATGGTCGAGATTCATTTTGTTGCATGCAGATACTTAATTGTTTTAGCCCCATTTGTTGAAAAGGCCATCTATCCTTCCCCCATTGAATTATCTTGGCCCCTTTATAAAAAATGGATTGACTACGTTAACTGTAGGTCTATTTCTGGACTCTCTGTTTATTCCACTGATTTTTATGTCTATCCTTACATCAATACTGCACTGTCTTGATTACTGTAGCTTTATATTAAGTCTTGAAATCAGGTAGTATAATACTGAAACTTTGTTCTTACTTTACAAAATTGTTTTGGTTGTCTTAAGACCTTCACATTTTTGTAACTTTGGAATCAACTTGTTAATTTCTACAAAAACATCTTGCTGGTGTTTTGATTGAGATTGTATTGAATCTATAGATCAGTCTAAGATCTATACAATACAATACGGGTATTCTCATCTACAAACATACTTTATCTTTGCCAAGTTTTATTCACAGCGTTTTGTTGTTTTCAATGTACTGGTTGCAGTGGTTTTAAAAATATGCTCAGGGGCACCTGGGGGGCTCAGTCAGTTAAGTGTCCGACTCTTGACTTCAGCTCAGGTCATGATCTCACGGTTCATCGGTTTGAGCCCTGCATTGGGCTCTGCATTGACAGTGCGAAGCCTACTTGGGATTCTCTCTTCCTCTCTCTCTGACCCTCTCCTGTACTCTTGCGCACTCTCTTTCAAAATAAATAAATAAACTTAAAAAAATAAAAAATTAAAATTGAAAATGTGTTCAGAAATTATTTGATATACCTCCGTTTCAAAATTGGAGACTGATTCTCCCCTTGAGTAAGGGCTAGATGTGATGGCTTGACTTGT